GCCGTTCTGACACAGCGTTGCCCCCTCTACCTCCTCGGCTCGTCCCGCGGAACCGGCTCAATACCGGCATTCGCGGGGACGGGCTGTCCGACCCCGACAGGCTTCTGCTCCGGCTCCACCTCAGCAGAGGGCTTCTGGGTGGGGTGCACCGTCCTCCCGGAGCTGACTGACGGTGGGAGGAAGCGTCCTGGCGGAGAGAGTAACTTTCTCCATCCAGGACGCGAGGGCGAATCCCGCCTCCTCCCTCTTTGATGCAAAAATTGTGACACGCACTTTTAATAAAAATTATTGCATTTATCCCAGTCTACTGTAAGTGTCATTTCACAATTGCACACTTCCACATAATGTTAACCGTACTGATTCCCCACTCGCTGCCCCAGTTGTAACTCCAGTAAAGGAAGCAGCTAGTGGGCATGCGCATGTGAGGGTAATAAACCGCAGGAAATGCTATCAAAGCGCTATGCGGGTACAGGGACATTATGGCCGGCGTGTTATTGTCAGGAGACACACACCTAGAGTAAAAACTCAGATTAATGCATTTTACCGTCTGGGTGAAGATTGCATTATGGCGGAGCTCGCGCTCTCGTGGGAGCGTTTTTGGTCCTCCAGCACTTCAAACCCTTAATACAGGGCAAACATGTGCTGGTGAGGAGCGACAACCGCACCACAGTGGCGTACATCAACAGGCAGGGCGGAGTCCGCTCCGCCGCCTTGTTGACCACAGCGGAGAGCCTGTGGTTATGAGCTTCAGAGATTGTGTTGTCTCTGAGCGCCCTCCACATCCCGGGACTGGAGAACAGGGGGGCAGAGGCGAGTGGGGGCCGAGGCGAGTGGGGGCTTCACCCGGAGGTGGTGAAGCAGATCTGGGCCCAGTTCGGGAGAGCGGAGGTGGACCTGTTCGCCAACCGGCGCAACAGCCACTGTACCCTGTGGTTTTCCATGGCTCGGCGAGACAATCTGCCCTTGGGGGTGGACGCGTTTGCACACGAGCCATGGCCAAGAAAGCTGCTCTACGCCTTTCCACCGCTGCGCCTCACTGACAGACGTTCTCGTCTCACCCTCTCCAGGAGGGGGAGACGAGAACATCTGTCAGTCATCCTGGTAGCCCCAGATCGCCGCGGGGCACCGTGGTTCGCAGAGGTGACACAGATGATGGTGGGCCAGCCCTGGGCAATTCCTCAGGTCTGGGGGGCGTTGTCTCAGGAAGCAGGTGCAATAGGGGCGTTACCCACTCTGGGCCAACCTCTCCAGGCTTGGCTCCTGAGAGGGACAGGCTGAGACAGGGGGGACTGTCTGATGAGGTTATTCAGACTATCCAGGCAGCAAGAGCAGGATCCACCACAACCTGTTACAGGACGAAGTGGTTGGGATTCCAGCGATGGTGTGAAGAAAGGAGTCTAGAGCCCCTATCTTGTACGCTGGGCTCTATTCTGTCCTACTTACAGATACTGGTGGACAGGGGGCTGGCTCATTCCACAATTATAGTGTATGCAGCAGCCATTTCGTCCTGCCATGAGGGACTTGGCGGCAGGTCAGCCTTCAGTCAGCCGCTTATGACGCGGTTTTTGCAGGGGGTCAGGAGACAGCGCCCAGTGGTGCATGCCTCCTCCCCACAATGGGATCTGAAGTTGGTGCTCGAGGCTCTGGTCACAGAACCATTTGAGCCTCTGGAGCTCTCCTCCCTGAAGGCACTGTCATTGAAAACAGCTTTGCTGCTTGCCCTGACTGCCAAAAGAGTGTCTGAACTGACCGCTCTGTCGGTGCACCCGAGTTGCCTTTTGATGGAGCAGGTCAGTGAGGTAGCAGGGAGCCTGGTGATGGAGCAGGTCAGTGAGGTAGCAGGGAGCCTGGTGATGGAGCAGGTCAGTGAGGTAGCAGGGAGCCTGGTGATGGAGCAGGTCAGTGAGGTAGCAGGGGGCCTGGTGATGGAGCAGGTCGGTGAGGTGGGGGGGGGCTGGTGATGGAGCAGGTCTGTGAGGTAGGAGGAGGCCTGGTGATGGAGCAGGTCGGTGAGGTAGGAGGGGACCTGGTGATGGAGCAGGTCAGTGAGGAGGGGGGGGGCTGGTGATGGAGCAGCGATGTGAGGTAGGAGGGGGCTTGGTGATGGAGCAGGTCTGTGAGGTAGGAGGGGGCCTGGTGATGGAGCAGGTCTGTGAGGTAGGAGGGGGCCTGGTGATGGAGCAGGTCTGTGAGGTAGGAGGGGGCCTGGTGATGGAGCAGGTCGGTGAGGTGGGGGGGGGGGGGCTGGTGATGGAGCAGCTCTGTGAGGTAGGAGGGGGCCTGGTGATGGAGCAGGTCTGTGAGGTAGGAGGGGGCCTGGTGATGGAGCAGGTCAGTGAGGTAGGGGGGGGCTGGTGATGGAGCAGGTATGTGAGGTAGGAGGGGGCCTGGTGATGGAGCAGGTCTGTGAGGTAGGAGGGGGCTGGTGATGGAGCAGGTATGTGAGGTAGGAGGGGGCCTGGTGATGGAGCAGGTATGTGAGGTAGGAGGGGGCCTGGTGATGGAGCAGGTCAGTGAGGTAGGAGGGGGCCTGGTGATGGAGCAGGTCGGTGAGGTAGGGGGGGCCTGGTGATGGAGCAGGTCAGTGAGGTAGGAGGGGGCCTGGTGATGGAGCCGGTCAGTGAGGTAGGTGGGGGGGGGGGGGCCTGGTGATGGAGCAGGTCTGTAATGTAGGAGGGGGCCTGGTGATGGAGCAGGTATGTGAGGTAGGAGGGGGCCTGGTGATGGAGCAGGTCTGTGAGGTAGGGGGGGCCTGGTGATGGAGCAGGTATGTGAGGTAGGAGGGGGCCTGGTGATGGAGCAGGTCAGTGAGGAGGGGGGGGCCTGGTGATGGAGCAGGTCAGTGAGGTAGGAGGGGGCCTGGTGATGGAGCAGGTCTGTGAGGTAGGAAGGGGCCTGGTGATGGAGCAGGTCAGTGAGGTAGGTGGGGGGGGGGCTGGTGATGGAGCAGGTATGTGAGGTAGGAGGGGGCCTGGTGATGGAGCAGGTCGGTGAGGTGGGGGGGGGGGGCTGGTGATGGAGCAGGTCTGTGAGGTAGGAAGGGGCCTGGTGATGGAGCAGGTATGTGAGGTAGGAGGGGGCCTGGTGATGGAGCAGGTATGTGAGGTAGGGGGGCCTGGTGAGGGCTTTGTAGGTAAGGAGAAGGATCTTGAAATGGATGCATTGTGGGACGGGGAGCCAGTGGAGGTCTTGCAGGGCGGGGGGATGTGGTCACGGAGAGGGTGAGGGTCAGGAGTCGGGCGGCAGAGTTCTGAATGTACTGGAGTTTATTGAGGAGTCTGGATGGTGTAACAGAGAGGATGCTGTTGCAGTAGTCTGGTCAGGTCAGTTATTCATAATGATGAACTGCTGTTTCTGTTTTATTTCACCTGCCTGCAGTCTATAACACTGCAGAGATATGCAGTGTGTTGCTAGGCTACCTACTGTATGAGTTGTAATGTTTTACAAATTAAAATTATATATTTTTGTCACAATTAAACATACACACAACACAAAAAATGTCTTAACCTACAAGTTACTCCTGATGGCTTCCCTTCATAAAGTGACTTGCTATGCTAGCAAATCCACAACAACATGCACTCTAACTTGACTGCAAACCACATTTTGTTTATTATTGTTGTTTACAGTTTATTCTGTAATCCTGAGTAAGATTTGTATTTTTTAATAATTCATATTCGTCTCTATTTAATTACACTTGCATATGTAAGGAATGAATAATGAAGTTTGTATTATACCAATAATACAAATAAAAGGAAACATGGTGAATACACAAAAAAGGATATTTGATCACTTAGTATGATCAGACCATAATTAAATGTTAAAACTAAAGTTGTATTTTTTAATTGTATTACAATTAAGTTGCAGTTTTGAATAGTGATGGAGTCAAATTTGTATTCCTGAAATGGAAAAAAGCTAAGATAAAAAACTGAAATGCAAATGCTTATAGACATATGCAGTCAAACCAGGAAAACAAAAAGAACACAATGAATTATTATGCTATCAGCACTACACACATGCACGTGTTTTCACAATATTATTTTATTTTATAATTCTTATGTATCATTTGATTGCAGCTTTGTCTACTAAAATCATAAAATATTTAAAGGGGACCTATTATGCAAAATCCACTTTTTGTCCTGATCCATTTTTATAAAAACCTGTCTGAAAATGAGCTGATCAGATTTTGGCCACTTTATGATATCATAACGATGTTTTGGCTTGTGTAACCATTAGCCAATCACCAACCAAGGTTACCAACACCCCCCCCCCCCCCCCCCCCCACCTTATCACCTGAATCTCCTCCTAGAGCACCATTGAGTTCTTTGTAACCAAATCTCTCTCAGAGGGGCGTGGGGAGGGGCTCCTTATTTTCATCTAAAGTAACAGACAGAGAATCAGCACTTTGGAAACAGGGCTGAAACAGAGGGGATTATGGGTAATGCTGCAATGATCTGTTTGGTGTTTCGAGCCAAACACTTCAGAGACATGTTTTGTATATATCTGAGACCTATAATATGTTGATGAAAAACAGTATAATAGGGGACCTTTAAAGTTCTGGTGAAATGCTCTTTGTCTCCTTTGGGTACGCTGCGTGTCCTACAGTCACTGTCTTGTAATCAGAGACAGATAATCAGAGACGGATAAGACAGATAATCAGAGACAGATAATCAGAGACAGATAATAGAGAGACAGATAATCAGAGACAGATAATCAGAGACAGATAATCAGAGACAGATAATCAGAGACAGATAATCAGAGACAGATAATAGAGAGACAGATAATCAGAGACAGATAATCAGAGACAGATAATCAGAGACAGATAATCAGAGACAGATAATCAAAGACAGATAATCACCAAACTCTCCTCGGGTGATTACAAAAACGACATTATGAATATTCATGATGTGTGAAATGTCATACTTTAAAAACTGCCTGGAAGAATATCCGTGTGTCTCTTTGCTGCAGATATCTTTTGACTTTTCCTTTTTCCTGTCCGTCAGGGTGCAGGTGGAGTTCTATGTGAACGAAAACACCTTCAAGGAGCGGCTGAAGCTTTTCTTCATCAAAAACCAAAGATCAAGTATGTTGATGGTGCAACACATCTTCTCACACCCATGAATTGGCTGTTTCATAATGGACAGGGGGCATTAAAGGTCACCAAAATAACAAATACAGACACATCCCCTCCTAATGAAACCCTCATGCATATAGAAAAACACCTTTAATGCTTAGCAACCACATATTTAAAGAGAAATACACACTGATGTTGCTTATGAGTCAAAAGAAATAGCATTTTTGCTGCAGTGCTGATAAGTTCAAGGTAAGATGTATTTGTAGAGTGCATTAAAAAGGGCTTTACAACAAACCTTGTTGTAAGTAAAGAAGTGCAGACACACACACACACATGCAGAGGCGTGCAGACATTCATATCAATGCAGAATGTAAATCATCTCAAGAGTCCTTGCAGGGGAGTAAAAGTGGCTCTTAAGACTCTTTTCAAGAGGAGTCAAGGGATTATAGTGCGCTGATATTTTCAGGGAGTGTATTCCAGAGTTTTGGTGCAGCTTCTTACCAAAAGCTTCTTAGAAAGCCCTGTCTCCAAAAGGTTTAGGACGAGATGATAAGTACTGAAGTGAGGACTTCCATACAAAACAAGGAGACAGTGGAAAGATGCTACATGCACAACATGTTATTTGTTGTTAATGTCAGTTTGTTGTACGTTTTATGAGTCTCTTTTACTTGTTGCTAGCATTCAACAGTAACATGGTTGATACTAAAACATAGAAGTTTGCAATAATGGAATTTGCCTGGATGTTAGTGCATGGGGATGTTAGTGCATGGATAACCTTGTGTTTATAACTATTTTTCTTTTTGTATTGCTCTTGCTATCTGTATTGTTATTATGTTGCATTGTTGGAGAAGCCTGTGACATAAGATTTTCAACAACATACTTGCTCTGTAGCTATGTCAGTTTGACAATAAAGAACCTTGAACCTTGAACCTTGTTACTAGGAGAAGCTAGATATGACACATTTGCTAACATTTTTATACTACATTTATTTTTGAGATAGTGTCTGATGTGATTGGATAACTAGAAATCAGAAATCCTTTATGACTCCTGCAGCGGGGACATTTACAGAATAGGACAGAAACCTGGGAGTTGCAATTATTGAATTTTGAGCAATAGGAAGGTTCTACTCTTGGATATACTGTAATTCAGAGCTGTAAGAAGTTTTATTGAACATCTTTGGTAGCCTTTCTATCAAATGTATATTGTATTAAATATTATTCAGTACTGACTGATATTATTCCAAGGTTTTTGCAAAGGGTCTGGTGTAATTGAGGGGCTGGGCACTGTTGCTGGAGGAGTGTGTTGGGTGATACAAAAGCAGTATTTAATTGTAAAATGTGTCCCTGTCTGGTCCTTAGGCCTCCGTATCCGTGTGTTCAACTTCTCCCTGAAGCTGCTCACCTGTCTGCTGTACATCATCCGGGTGGTGACCGATAACCCGGGTCACAGCGCAGGACAACAGAATGCTAACAGTGGCAACGTCAAATGGTTTGTCCATTTTGAACAGAAGCACTAACGTACAGTACAGCAGACTAAAAGATAGATACATGTTGAAACACATGCCAGCAAAGTTGCAAAGATATCATTAAAAGAAAGCGTAAATGCTCTTATAAATGACACACCCACCAAGCAACCAAACATCTTTCTAAACACTTATTTTAGTAAGCTTTTCACTTTTATTCATTGATGTTAAACATCACAGTCAGCTTACTGTACATTCACTATAAATGTTTAACAGACTTATTGATAATCACAATCTAAGGAAAGACTCTTCTTAAAGTGCTTAAGCAAAAATAACTTGCCTACATTCATTTATTCCCTTTGACTTTCTGTTTCTCTCTCTCCTGCAGTGTTGACTGCCAGTGGAACGGATCAGTGCAGGACCGAGAGATTAACTGGTGAGCAGCAGGAGGTGGAATGACTGTTCATTCAGGGTCAAATGAAAAGAAAGTATTATGTAGCCTCTGGCGAAAGCAACATATCCTGTGAGTGCGCTTCCAGCTCTTTTCCTGCACTCAGCTCATTACCTTACCTGGCCTGAGATGAATGTTGCACATGTTCATTTGACATATTGTCACATGTATTATCTCTAATGATACCCATCTAATGAAATAATAACAGTATTATTTTTGACTTTATTTACCTCAAATATTTAACAATGATAATGCATTTCTTGACTGATTTATAGGTCATTTGTTGTGAATGAAAGAGTTGCTCTGTTTGGCAGGGGGTTGATCTTCTGGGTGGATAGAAAGGTTCCTGTCTGGGCCATCCAAGTGAGTCACAACAGAACACACACAGGGGGAAAGGCTTTACATTTGACAAAGAGGCCATATTATGTTGTGGGGGTTTTCCCTTTACTGTAGAGTGCTATGTAGGTTTTGTGCATGTCAATGGGTTACAGAGGCTAACATCCCTGTGTTCCCTCCCTCCCACACATAAATACTAATATGAACCTGAAAATGAGCCTATTATGTCTTATTTAAACAAGAAAAAACGTTTGAAAAAAGAGCTTGACAACACTGTGGGTTTCATTCTCAGATAATTAATTTTAAAATGATTCTTCTCTTAACAATTGATCAGCTTGTGTCCTGTTTTTTTCTTGCACAGGTGATTGTTGCCATCATTAGTTTTCTGGAGACTATGTTACTGATGTATCTCAGCTACAAGGTAACACACACACACACACACACACACACACACACACACACACACACACACACACACACACACACACACACACACACACACACACACACACACACACACACACCACACACACACACACACACACACACACACACACACACACACACACACACACACACACACACACACACCACACACACACACACACACACACACACACACACACACACACACACACACACACACACACACACACACACACACACACACACACACACACACAATAAACAGACGTCATGCGTGTCAGTAATACAGCCCGTCAATGCAATTAGTCACTTCCAGTCTGAGAGATTGACAGATGATAAGTGGCGTAATTATCCCAGGACTTTTGTCACGGCTACATTAAGAACAGGCGTAATGACAGGATCTGGTGGAGGTGAAGAATGAAGTGTTCGCCCCAAAGTGACAGACTACAATTAGGACCTGCATCTCTGCAGTGACTCACTCTCAGTCTATTGTGTGCCTACAGGTTCAAACGTCTGCTCATGCTTTTATTTGATTTCATTATAGGGGAACATTTGGGAGCAGATTTTCCAGGTGTCATTTCTTCTGGAGATGATTAACACAGTTCCCTTCATCATCACGGTAATGCTTCTACCACTCTCAAATAATCATTATCTAGAATAACTTCCAACACTGTAAACTATGCTCTTTTTGTACTTTTTCATTATTTCTGTAATCTTTAAGAATTGAAGACATAAGCATTATTGAGACTCAGACTTACATCAATGGACACTGAAAAGTGAAGAATAACAATTTAGATAGTAAGAAAAAAGAAAGGATTCATGCTATCCCACCTTTTAGCCAAAGGACCAAAGTGCATGGCTCTTGTGAACATGCCACCGCCTGCATTTTCTTTTTGATTTAATATGTTATTGTTGTCTTTATTCTGCACTGGCTTTTGCTGTTGTAACATTGTAAATGTCCCCGTTGTGGGATGAAAAGAGGATGAAAGGCTCTGTCATATGAGTAGCCCAACTGTACGCGTAGTCATTACATGTCGCTGTCCGTGGTGCTGAAGTAGAACACTTGTTGATTGATTTGTAATTGATTTACATTTTTTCTCTCAGTCCCAGACTTCAGATGAATTGTTCTTACCCATTCAGTCTTCAACACATTTCTTGTGCACATGTAAATGGTTAGAAACTGAAGACTGCGTCGATGTCATTTTGGGTGTCAAATTGAAGTTAAGAGCATTGAAGCTATCACCTTGAGCATATAAACCACAATGCACACAGCCTTTTCTGTGCAGCTTTTACCGTGTGATTGCAGAAATATTGAGAAAAAACCTTATACTTTGATTTGAAATGTGTCTTTGTCCTAAGATCTTCTGGCCCTCGATCAGAAACATCTTCATCCCCGTCTTTCTCAACTGCTGGCTGGCCAAGTGCGCTTTGGAGAACATGATCGTGAGTGGAAACATGAACTGAATGGATTATTTTAAAGGAACAATTGAATGTTATTGTTCTGTCGTTCATCATCCAAGAGCAGCAACATAATGTTGTTAGCTCAAGTACAATATTGAAGTACATGTACTTTGCTTGAGTGTTTCAATATAGCGGTACTTTACACTTCTTCTCCTGAAAATGTATTTTAAAGGTTCCCTATTATACTGTTTTTCATCAACATATTATAGGTCTCAGATATATACAAACAAGTCTCTGAAGTGTTTGGCTCGAAACACCAAACAGATCATGGCAGCATCCCATAATCCCCTCTGTTTCAGCCCTGTTTCAAAAGTGCTGATTCTCTGTCTGTTACTTTAGATGAAAAATAAGGAGCCCCTCCCCACGCCCCTCTGAGAGAGATTTGGTTAAAAAGAACTCAATGGTGCTCTAGGAGGAGATTCAGGTGATAAGGTGGGGGGGTTACCTTGGTTGCTGATTGGCTAATGGTTACACAAGCCAAAACATCGTTATGACATCATAAAGTGGCCACAATCTGATCAGCTCATTTTCAGACAGGTTTTTATAAAAATGGATCAGGACAAAAAGAGAGAGAATCTTTGTTCCTGAAACTTTCAGAATCTCTTTACACAGAGGGGACACATGTTGATGAAGAAGAGACATGAAGAAGAGGGGACACATGTTGATGTAGAAGAGACGTGAAGAAGAGGGGACACATGGTGATGTAGAAGAGACGTGAAGAAGAGGGGACACATGTTGATGTAGAAGAGACATGAAGAAGAGGGGACACATGTTGATGTAGAAGAGACATGAAGAAGAGGGGACACATGTTGATGTAGAAGAGACATGAAGAAGAGGGGACACATGTTGATGTAGAAGAGACATGAAGAAGAGGGGACACATGTTGATGTAGAAGAGACATGAAGAAGAGGGGACACATGTTGATGTAGAAGAGACATGAAGAAGAGGGGACACATGTTGATGTAGAAGAGACATGAAGAAGAGGGGACACATGTTGATGTAGAAGAGACGTGAAGAAGAGGGGACACATGTTGATGTAGAAGAGACATGAAGAAGAGGGGACACATGTTGATGTAGAAGAGACATGAAGAAGAGGGGACACATGTTGATGTAGAAGAGACATGAAGAAGAGGGGACACATGTTGATGTAGAAGAGACATGAAGAAGAGGGGACACATGTTGATGTAGAAGAGACATGTAGAAGAGGGGACACATGTTGATGTAGAAGAGACATGAAGAAGAGGGGACACATGTTGATGTAGAAGAGACATGAAGAAGAGGGGACACATGTTGATGTAGAAGAGACATGAAGAAGAGGGGACACATGTTGATGTAGAAGAGACATGAAGAAGAGGGGACACATGTTGATGTAGAAGAGACATGAAGAAGTGGATTTTGCATAATAGGTGACCTTTAAAGCTTTTGCTTTTGCATTGGGACCATTGATAAACGTTTAACATATTGCATCTCCAAAGATGAAACAAGTCGATTTACTGAGATACAATATGAAATGATCCAATATATTACAAAAAGTTTTTTAAAAGTATGTAATTTATGTAACAGGAACATTTTTGTCAGCAAAAGTGAAATGTTACTCGACACAACAATATGAAACACCTAATAGAGTCATAAAAATAATTTATATTAGATATATTATATGTATTATAATATCCACCACTAGTAGGGGATTTAACTACTGGAAGAAATGATCCCTCCAAAGAGTCAATATCTTTCCTCAACACAAATAGAGGTGAGCTTTTAGCCCCCATGTTGAAGTTCACTGTTGTTTTGTGGGCAGAATGACGTCCACAGAGCCATCCAGCGGACGAACTCGGCCATGTTCAACCAGGTTCTGATCCTGATCTGCACGCTGCTCTGCCTGGTGTTCACCGGGTGAGGAGGATCTATTTGAGCTGTTTGTAAAGTCTGTCTGTGTTTCTGTAGTGTGAATTAAACCTCTAATATATTCAGATGGATATGGATGCCAACAATACTTTTACATTATTCAGTGTCTCTGTGGTGGTGCATTGTTTTCGGTTATTGAGTGTTTGTTCTCATTTTTCCACTCAGCACATGTGGGATCCAGCACCTGGAGCGGGCGGGGAAAAATCTGTCGCTCTTCAACTCCTTCTACTTCTGCATCGTCACCTTCTCCACGGTGGGCTTCGGAGACGTCACCCCCCGCATCTGGCCCTCCCAGCTGCTGGTGGTCATCATGATCTGCGTGGCTCTGGTGGTGCTGCCTCTGCAGGTAGGGAGATATGGAAGAGGAACTACGACCCCTAAACGTTTAGTTTCTGTGCTCCACAGATCTGGATAAAGCTTCCTGAACACACGAGGCCTTCCCCAACCCTGAGTTTTTGTTTAAGTCGAGCCTAAAACCTTTTTTACTGCTGCTTTTCCAGAGGTCATCTAATAAAAGCATTGTTATTATATATATCTTCATTTTTTATGAATTGTCTTGTTTTCTTTTTCATTTGTTTTTTGTGTAAATGCTTAACGTAAAGCACATTGAAGTGCGTTTGTGTCTGAATATAGATAAAATAATCTTAACCATACATTTCAAAGACATATTAAATTATGTTTCTAACTAAAACTAAAGCATTTTGGGGGGTTTGTTCCTCTATTAATACTCTTGGCTATCTGCTGAATGTTTATTTGTGTGTGTGTGAGCGTTACTCAGTGATCTTGCTGTGTGTCAGTTTGAGGAGCTGATGTATCTGTGGATGGAGAGACAGAAGTCTGGAGGGAACTACAGCCGGCACCGCGCGCAGACGGAGAAACACGTGGTGCTGTGTGTCAGCGCGCTGAAGATAGACCTGCTGATGGACTTTCTCAATGAGTTCTACGCACACCCCAGGCTGCAGGTACCAAACATCACACACTTATATACTGCAGTGTACACACATTGGTGTGATCGAGGCAGTGATGGACTGTAGCCCACTTCAGTTCCACTTCAAGGTGCCATTACTGTACTTTAGTATTTGCGTTTTCTGCAGCTTTATACTTTACCTCCACTAGATCACTGCTTCACTACTTTTAAAGAAATAAAAAGATCTGAGTATTTTGGCAACATCTTGAAAATGGTGTGTTTAAGGATTTTTAAAAGAAAAAACATAGTAACTAAGAGACATTGGTGTATTTGCAACTAAATGTTGTGACATTAACATCTTCCATAGTGGAATACACACGTGTTCTTGTGTATTCTTAAAGGACTACTACGTGGTGATCCTGTGCCCCAGTGAGATGGACTTGCAGGTGCGCAGAGTGCTGCAGATCCCTCTGTGGTCTCAGAGGGTCATCTACCTGCAGGGGTCTGTCCTCAAAGACCAGGACCTGCTCAGAGCCAAGTGAGTGACTCTTAAATCAATGCAAAAATGCATTATTTTCCTAGAATCTACATTGTTTTGGTGTCAGTTGTAAAGTGTTGAAGTTATTTGCCCTAGTGTAGTCTGCCTTCTCTTAAACGTAATGGAACTGGATGGAATTTAGGTTGAGGGCTCAAAGCAACAACAAATTGCAAATAAAACACACAAACCTTTTAGAACTGAATTCTCTTTGTCTTAAGTTTGTGTTTGTAAAGTTAAATGTGGCTGATGATAATCTTAGAGCTGCCAGCAGCTCATTTTATACAGTGAGTTTTAGCTTTAATAAATGGTATCGCTACAGTTAAATGACTATTTGGGGAATCTTTAGATCCTATTCACTCCAGCTACTTTTCAAAAGTCCGGACAGCAAATAGGTCTCAAAACACCTTAAAGATCAGAGCTTCTGGGCTGAAGATATCTGCAGAGTGAGGTGTGCATTGTGTGAAGGTAGTGCAGTACAACCTGCATCCACTCTCAGATAAATTCAGGGAATTCAATGAAATTAAAACTAATTACAGATAGAAGGAGTAAATAAGTATACTTGTAAAAAAAATATTTAAAATAATTTAAAGAATGAAATAAACGGAAATAATACAACTACTGCGGATAATAAAATGAATAATAATAAGTAAAATGAATAAATAAATGAAAATGGTAAAAATGTACATTTAGGTTATGTATTCCTTGCACATTTTACTTTACTGTTTAGTTTATTTCTTACATTTTAGTTAAACTAAAAGGACAACTTTTCTTCAGGAAAAAATGGCATTCAAATTTAAACAGTTATTTAAATGATATCTTCGAATGAAGAAATAACACACATCTTACGATTAAGGTTTGTGAAATAAATGCAATCTCAGTTGTTAGAAAGAGAGGCCTGATTGATGATTAATGGTTTGGGAAACCTCAAGTAATTAAAAATCGAAATAAAATCAGAAATAAAATATAGTTATGTAAGAGCTCTTAGTCTGGTAGCTGAAGTGATAATAATATGCTTATATGTTTACACTTATCTGTGTAATCATTATCATTTCTGGTAACACTTTATATTAAGGTACACAAATTCACCATCAACTAGTTGTTAATTAACATGCATATTAGCAGTATATTGGCTCTTTATTAGTCATTATAAAACACTTATTAATGCCTTATTCTACATGACCGTATTCTACAAGTAATAAACCATTAGTTGAGAGTTTTTCCTCAATAACCCTCTAATTAGTGCTTATTGATTGCAAATAAGGAAGTTGTTGTACATGAGTTTTGGTCTTAATATGCGCTGCTCAATATGGGCCTAATAAGGCAGTAGTACCACAAGAATAGTTATTCTCCCATAATAACACTTACAAATATGATCTATTCTTATGTAACAGGACATGGAAATATAAGTGTTAATTGTGTCTAAATAACTCAACATTAGGTATTTCTATCTAAGAACATGTTCCCTATTTTAAAGTGAAGTCTTGTTCATAACCAATAAGCTAGTAGTTTGACTCTGATTGACCTGAACAGGTTCCCTATTCTAAAGTTGCCTCCTCTTCACACTTTGTAAATACATTATAGCACACAACTACTGAAATTAACCTCAACAGTACATGAACAAAGAAGGCACACGTTGAAATATCTGTTTTATTAATGAACCACTAAACTTTAAAGAGAGGTTCAGACACATACCAAAACATGTCAAGTTTCTCCAAGGCTGAGAACACATAATGCAGCCTGTACTTTTTTAATAAAAACAGATTTTTAACAGAGTTTATGTATCTGTGATCATACTGTGTGACCTGCTTGTATGTACTTACACACTAGGTGTACTGTTCTCTCTATGTGTTGTCCTGTCTCAGTGTGAACATAGATTAAACAGCCAGCCAAACTCTTTTGAGAGCCAGGGAATGAGCAGCCATGCTCCTTTATTGACTTATTTGCAGTCCACTGACATTCAAATGGAGTGAAACTATAACAAAAGAAGTTACAAGGCACTTAATGAGCTCATACATGCAAGTGTAACATACACAGATTAACACATAGGACCGCTAAGTGTAAACAAGTTAAATATAGCTAATGCTAGCTGTGCAATAAGCATGTAGGCTATACAGGCTCGTATGGCTAATGCTAGCATGTATGCTAATGCTACCGTGTATGCTAACGCTAGCGCGAATGCTAATGCTGCGTTCACACCGGACGCGATGTGATGTTGGATGTTTGGGGGCGGCGCGATTACATGTAAAGTCAATGCAGAGATGCGGACAGACGCGAATTCGCTCCGACGGCGCGCAACTTCCTTACTTGCAATAAATAAGCATTAGAGGGTTATTGAGGAAATGCTCTCAACTAATGGCTTATTACTTGTAGAATATGGTCATGTAGAACAGGGGTGGGGAACCTTTTTCCTCTCAAGGGCCATTTCAATTTTTACAACATCCTCCGAGGGCCATACACATTATTGACCTCAACCTCTGCTAAAAAAAACAAAAATCACAGCCCATTGATTTCGCCTTTCTTTCATGCTGTGCAAAGAAAAAGCAACCTCTTAATCCAGATATCTTTCTGTTTTATTTAAAAAGTTTTTATGTTATGCTTTGCAGAGAGTGTGTAAAAGGCGTAAGGAGTTAAATGCAGACACTCACTATGACTCGTGCATGCATGCACGTGCACGGTTGCGGCATGACCACCCAAACAGAAAGATATGGACAGAAGAAGTGTGTAAATGTATTTAGTATCCTATCCATGTGAACATGATATAAGTGTGGGGGGGGACCTAATATCCTCTAGGGGGGTCCGGGGGCATGCTCCCCCGGGAAGATTTTTTTATATTGAAGTTAAATGCATCAGTCTGGTGCACAACATTAAGAGATCTATGGATACATCTCTCAACACCCATTATGAAACAGAACTGAAAACAGATTTTCTTTTTCTTTATGGATATTTTACAAATCACTCCCCTTTCAAACTGTATTCTTGTTTATTAATAACAACTTTCTTTTACTTTTACAGTATTTTATACCTGTTTTTCATTTATTCTCTTATTTTTTTTATAACTATAATGATCATATAAAGGTGTGCCTTTACCTCACTGAGCTGAGGTTATCAACCTCTCAGTCTGACAGGAGAGAGCTCTCTTCCACCTGGTTGTAGAAAAAGCTCCTTATATTCGTTAGCATAGCTAGCTAACCACATGCTAATAACAACAATCCCCGGTACCGCTCTCTCTCTCTCGCTCGCTCACACAAAATACGCTCGTGCCACACACACAGAGCCGAGCTTGAATGACACACAAAGACCAAGAAGTACTTGTACTGTAATGTAGCATATTATTTTCGATGGCGTTATTGTATAATCAGTATGACAGATGAACAGATCGCCACTGGGCTTACAACTAAAGACACAGCCACGCAAAAACAACTTACTCTCGTGTTGTGTTCAAGGAACCTGTCCTTGGCCAGGAAAAACAGGCAGTCGCTTGTTTAATTCTATTGCGGCCTAGATTTCTTTAATTTGTTTTTGCGTGTGTTTATAAATTACCTCGAGGGCCGTGTCAAATGGTCTCGCGGACCGTATACGGCCCGGAGGCCGGAGGTTCCCCACCCCTGATGTAGAATAAGGCATTAATAAGTGTTTTATAATGACTAATAAAGAGCCAATATACTGCTAATATGCATGTTAATTAACAACTAGTTGATGGTTAATTTGTGTACCTTAATATAAAGTGTTACCTAATTTCTATAATTGCAGGTGAAACATATCCTCACATTTTAATGTTACAAATAGGCCTACTGGGAGGATGATGGATTTTAGATTTAATTTGACCTGAACACTGTTTACATAGTTTATGGGGAGCAGTATCGGGTGTGATGTTTCAAATTAGCTATAGCGGATGCTATCTTTTTGTATTTTGCATTTTATGGATGTATCAATAAATGCAGGATATAAACCTGTATGGTCCCTCTGCTGTTGTGCGATGCTGAGACAGAATTTTAATTATTGATTGAAACTATAACCATTTCTTCTAAGACTCACCCCTAAAATGGACCCCTTTTTCTGAGGAAAGCAAACATGATCTGTCTCACATTTTCCTGAGAATTGTAAGTCATGAAAGTGAAAAAGAAAATGTTAATGAAAGGATTGAAACACCTGCTGTGGCTTTGGTGGAACTTTCTCCAGTCTGAGAAAATAACAGCATAACCATGGATCGATTACCAACTTCCAGAATACTGCTTCAATTTGGCATTTCTTTTATTCGCCTTCTATTTTCAGTCCCCCAAATTCACATGCAATACTGAAAACAGTGTTGTAGTCAAGTCACCAATTCACGAGTCCAAGTCACTCTCGAGTCACCACTCTTCGAGTCCGAGTCCAAGTCCGAGTCACCCAAGGAGTGTCCGAGTCGAGTCCGAGTCCGAGTCATCATTACCTGTGTTCGAGTCCGAGTCCAAGTCCGAGTCACCCAAGGAGTGTCCGAGTCGAGTCCGAGTCCGAGTCATCATTACCTGTGTTCGAGTCCGAGTCCGAGTCACCCAAGGAGTGTCCGAGTCGAGTCCGAGTCCGAGTCATCATTACCTGTGTTCGAGTCCGAGTCCAAGTCCGAGTCACCCAAGGAGTGTCCGAGTCGGGTCCGAGTCATCATTACCTGTGTTCGAGTCCGAGTCCAAGTCCGAGTCACCCAAGAAGAGTCCAAGTCAAGTCCGAGTCACAAGTCTTCATGTATTAATCTTCGTGGATATATTTGTTGAAATGTAGCTGCTCCTCTACATTGCTTTTATCCTGTCATGTTATACTAATGTGTCTATTGAACTGCTGGGAAGCCAGTTTGGCTACAATTCTTGTAATAGGTGCTATACAAATATAAAGCTTATTACTAATATTAATTTTATTATTAAAATAGTTCTCTCTCTCTCTAGCTAGCATGCTCGCTAGCTAGCATGCTCACTAGCTAGCATGCTCACTAGCATGCTCACTACCTAGCATGCTCGCTAGCATGCTCA